ATCAAAACCCCAACCTCATTGTACCCAGATGCTATTCCTGCTATTGGTATCTTGCACCCAACGATGTGGGCTGCCATCTGCAAAAGCTTATGCCTCGTTAAACTTGTTCATTATTAAGTCACCAAAGACTTGTTTTTCTGCCAACAGACTAAGACATTAGCACACAGCTATCTGCTCCCAGAAATTATAGTTTCATGCATGCATGTAAAGATTTAGCTTCCCTCAAAAGTGTCGTAGAGTCCGGTGACAGACAGGGGAATGATCGTGCGGACTCCATTAGGGGCAGGGGTAATGGGAAGATAAGCCGGGTAAGAGCTGATCTTAACCTGCTGCTATGGACTGAAAGGAGAACAAACCTATCAATTCTAAAGGAAATCAACCCGGAGTGCTCACTGGAAGGACAGATCCTGAAGCTGAGGCTCCAATACTTTGACCATTTCATGAGAAGAGAAGACTCCCTGGAAAAGACCCTGATGTTGGGAAAGTGTGAAGGAAGGAGGAGAAGGGGATGACAGAGGGCGAGATGGTTGGACAGTGTCATTGAAGCAACCAACACGAATTTGACCCAACTCCGGGAGGCAGTGGAAGATAGGAGGACCTGGCGTGCTCTGGTCCATGGGGTCATGAAGAGTCGGACACGACTAAACGACTAAACGACAATGGACAGCTCATGATGGTAACCCTTTCTTTGCCCATCACCTGCTCAAGAGCTCACTGCTGAGGTCAAGGCCTCCCACACACTCCTCAATGGCTAGACAGTCACTGGAGGATCAGGTGTCGCAATGAGATCAGCTTGTACCAATTTAAATTCCTCCTGAGCCACCCTTCTGGAACCTTAGCCTTCACATCCAGTGAGCAGGGAATTCCATCCTGATTACCCAAAGAGATGTAACCTCTGCTAAAATAGGATGGAGTTCATGAAACACAGCCCAACTTTCTTCACCTGAATTGGGATCTGGGGTGTGCAATTAATACAGATTATCTCACCTTGGAGAACGACTGTGCTGAAACTGTGCTCTTCGGTAGAGTTACAGCATATAGCTGGAAATACTAGAGATACAGTACCCTCACCTTGGAGAAGAACTTTGCCGAAACTTTGCTCTTCGGTAGAGTTATATAGCTGGAAATACTAGAGATACAGTACTGGATAGACATTAATGCTACCCAGGCCTATGTCTCATTTCAGCTCTTTTCTGCGTACTTTGTACTCTATAGGGAGTGGGATGGCTAATAGAATGGTGTTTTAGTGTGCTTACATGGGGTACAAGTTAAGGCACAAAGAAGGCTGCATTTCGAGTCTTGGGTGGTACAAATTGCTTTGCTCTGTTGGTTATTGTTTCAACCCCAACATTTTGCTTTAAACCAAACATTTTTCCTTCTTCAAGAATATTCTTTGTTTGTCTAAGTGAGTTTGGAAAACAGTGTATATGTGCATGTGCACATGCATGCGTATGCCCATGTGCATGGTCATGTACATGCCTTTACAGAATTTAGATTATGAGCAAGGATATAGCAGTGGAGAAAAGAAGATTTGTTTGTATGGTGTTTTGGTCTAGGCCAGTGGTTTCCAACCTTGGGTCCCCAGGCGTTGTTCAATGAAGACTCCCAGAAGCCCCCCACCCACCAGCGTTCTTCAAGGAAGACTCCCAGAAGCCCCCCACCCACCAGCTGTGCTGGCCGGGACTTCTGGGAGTTGTGGTCCAAGAACATCTGGGGATGCATGGTTTGGGAACTACCATTCTAGCCACATGCAGGTTGCCTCCTACCAAGCTGAACGCTGGATCCAACTAGATCTGTATTGTCTTCACCGACTTGTGTAGGAGCTCACCTTTTCTGACCCAGAGGTTTCTGAAGCGGCAGCGCTGGAGAACAGGCCTTGTCGGTAAAGATTGATCCAAGATGACATCGCCAGACTTTTAAAATGATTTTAATGAAATCAAAACAATGCACGCATACACAAACCTTCAAAATTCACACCTGAGTTATTCGAACTGTTCTCCCAAAGAGAGAAAAGTAGAGGTTACAGGAGAGGGGAGGGGAGGGAGAGAGAAGCTATTTACAATGCAGCAAATGTCTCCCCCACATAAACAGCACAAACGCAGCCACCGATAGACAGGGACAAAATTTCCTTTTGCTTGGTGGTGCATGCAAAAACCCAACTGGCCAGCACAAAACAATGAGAGAGAAAGAGAGAGAGAGTGGTATATATTGAGAGAGTACATTGTAAGTGTTTCTAATTTTGTTGACAACGATGACTACTTCATAGTTTCTTCTATTTAAACCCCTATTAGGGTCCTGCCTTTTCCAGGCCAGTTCCACAGTTATGAAAACATGAGCAAGTTTTGAGATCTCTCGATCAGGCAAGACAAATGGACCAGGTGAGTTTGGGCAGGACATTTTGTAAGAAGCAATACGCCTTAATGAAAGGAGGAGGAGGAGGAGGAGGAGGAGGAGGAGATGAAGACAATGAAGAAGAAACTTTCAACCTAAGAGGTCAGCTTATTTCAGGTGTGCTTCAGCAAATGCTTCTTCCAGCCAAACATGACAGGACAGGTAGGCCCTCACGTCTGACAGCGTCCCAATGTGCTTTGTTATACCCTCATTTGCAGGAGGGAGGGGAAAGGCTGCTTACATCTTTTCTCTCCAGCTATCTCACCTCCCCCAACCATTTCCCCCCCACACACACACTCAGCAGCTTTCCCACCCAAGCTCTTAGTCTGGAATTCTAGGCAGCACACCTCGTTCTAAAGCAAAAGATACCTTCTCCTAAGAAAATAACTGGAGCCTTTCCTCTCCTCCAAACCTCCCGCTACACAATTATTTATCTGGAGCAAAAATCCTAAACAACAATAGCAATAATATTCCTTTCCAATATTTGGCCAGAAGTTCTGAGTCAGCATCAGCCCACTGGGAAATGCACGAGCATGAAGGGAGGGGCAGGGTGCAAATGGGGGTGACACACACACCAGAGTCTGGAGGATAAGAGCCGGTGGATTCATCTTCCCATTCTCTAACTGCAGCCATTTCTTCTCATTGGATTCAGAGCAAGGCAGGTGAGAAGCAGATCTCGTGCAATGCAGAGCTCAGAGGCACCCTTTGTGATTACCCCTCCATAAAATGCCCCCCCAGCTAGGAAAATTCTGGGCACCGTAACCCCAAAAAGAGCTCCCCCCAAGCTGTGATGCAAACACTCATCACAAGGGTCACCGGGAAGCAAAGGTGCTGAACCTTTGCTTTACCTGAAATTCCTGAACCAGATATACCTGAACCAGGTGTTTAAGGTTTCCACTCCTAGAAACCTCAGCCACCAATGCAGGTGGTCAGAAATTCAGAAGTTTGAAGTCCAAGACCTAAGAGGACAGAACGTTGAGAAACACCAGGCGAGGCGCTCCTTGGGACTATTCCAGATACAGCTTGAAATGTTATGTGTGAAGCAGGGCCTGGCTGGCCGGACCGGAAACCACAGTGACTAAAAAAAGAATACAACCTGTACCGCTGGTTATGGTGAGCCGAAAAGGCCACCTCCCAAATATATGCTAAAAGTCAGCCTCTGCACAGCTTCAGGGCTTAAAGGCCTGGACGTCACGGGGTGGACTGAGAATCCACAGCCAGTGTGGTCCCAGAGAAATGAGTCCACAGCACAATGGGGAAGGGCATCTCTCTTTTTCCTAAGAGAGATGGAGCTTAGATGGAAATAAGTAGGCTGGTTCCATTCACATCACATATGCTTCCTCCAGGATTCTGAGATTTCAGGAGACCTGGGTTCAAATCCCCACTCAGCCATGGAAACGCACAGGGAATGGTGGGGAGTGGTGAAATCACCCCTAAAATATCTCAAATAGCTTGGAAACACGAAAGAAGTGGCCATAAGTTGGAGGCAACTTGATGGCACCTTACAAAGTCCAAAAAAAAAAAAAAAAGAAAAAAAAAGAAAAGAAAAAAAAAGGAAAAAAAGGTTGACTTTCTCATGTATAGGTATATCTATTACTGTCTTTTGAGTGGTTTGGTTGCAGGTTCATACCGTGTGTATCTTCTTCTCCAAATAGCCATGGTAGGTTTCTGCCCTGAAGGATCCATGTCACCCAATCAAGATGACAAGTGGACATGAAGGCAGACCACCCTGGAAACGTTCATCATTTTGAACATGCCTCCCTTTCTGACAAATGAAGGCACTACCTCTTGGTTACTGTACACCATCTGCCGGATGCTAAAACAACCGTCCAGCTTTACACCTAGAGCGAAACTAATTTGCCAGCTTTGGCTCAGTTTAGGGGAACCCTCGGGGGGGTGGCCCCCATGTGTGTTTAGATTTGTGAGCAGATGCATCCCTGTGGTTGGCAGCTAGGAAAAAAACACATTTCTGGGCGAAAGGGAGCACATCACAAATGTGGTCCACAGCATCTGAGAGTGAAGAGACCTTTTAGGCACCGGAAAGAGAAAGTCTTGAGACTTGGCAAGCAACGGTAACGGTGTGGCGAACACATGCGCCCAGGCAGCCCTGAGCAAATGGAGGATCCATCACAGTCTTTGCAGGAGCAGCGGATGGTTGGGAGGGTAGAAGGCACAGCAGCTGATCGGGGAGCAGAGTAAGAGGGGCAGCCACCTATGACTAGGTACCGATGGCCTCTCCCTCACCCCATCCCATGGATAAGGCACACTCAGAGAGTGAGGGGTTGGGTTATGCGATAGGGGAACATAGGGGTGACCCTCTGGTATAAAGGCAGACAGGACCCTCCAGTGCCTGCGGTGGAGCAGCAGCCCATCTGCCCTAAGGAACCAGCGGCCACTGGGTTTTTAGTCTCTTTCAACAGTTCTTTTGGTATCCAGTGAGGCTAGGATTGGAGGAGACATCAACCGCTTGTTGAAGGCTACCTCTATCCTTGCGTCAGACAGTCGCCTGAGCCACCATCTCCAGAGAAGTAGGTTCCTAAGAAGTCGTTCAGGCTCCCTTTTGTTTTCTTTTCTTTTTCTTAGCAGGAAACAGTGAACCTGGTTGCTCTTTGGGGGGAAGCGTTTCAGTGGTGGAGGTAGGTGGGCTGGTTCCAGCGATACCACGATCTGCTCGGAGAAAGGACAACAAGAACAGAGGCCGTTGGTTAAATTAGATCCTCTGGAGGATCTCTCAATATCCATCTAAGACACTACGCCGATCGTATGTTATAGATAACCCCCCAACCCACTCCCCACCGCACTCTGTTAGATAATCAAGGAGGTGCACCAGGTTTGGATAAATGCCCAGTTACTGATATCAACTTGATTTGAGCTGATTCGTATGAAATCATGGCTGAGGCAGAATGCCGTGAGATGTGCAAGTGCAACGACTATTGAACAGTAATGTAACATACTAACATCAGGAAAGAAAACACTAATAGGAAAGATTAAATACCATTCTTTGCCTGGAGAAGGCCAATGGACTAAAGGAAGGACAATGAATTATTTGCTCATCGAGATGCACTACAAAAGGTCAAAAGGCCAGGCGGCACAGTCGGACACAAGAAGTGTTGAAGTAAAGGTACCCCGGTGCTAAAGTTCCCAGTGGCCCATTGGATGCAAGTCCACATTGAACCAGCTATACCTTAAGTACAGTGAAAATGCCATTGCAGTTTTAATCACCTAAGCGCCATATCCAAGAAACAGCTCCAGACAAACTTAGACACAGAACCACTGCTCTGTTTTGAAAGAGTCTTAAAAAGATGCCTAAATTAAATAAATAAATAAATAAACAAACAAATAAATAAACAAATAAATAAACATACTGGAATGCTATGGACTATTGTCCTCATCTGAATTTTCTGCATAATGGCCAAAGGATGTCAATCTCCAAGAAAAGGGCCTGTAGGGAAGCAGCCTGCCCCCCAAGATTGCTTGTTGCCTCTTTTTATGTCAAATGTTGCAATGGTAATCTATCCCAGTATAATACCGTACTGGTTGCTTTCCAGCAAGCCTCAAATTTGAAAGAATACTAATTTAACGGGACTGCACATTTCAGAACTCAGAAAAATTACAATTTTCTTGCATTTCCAATTCTAGAACTCCTGAACCACCAGGGGTTGAAGCCCTAAAAAGAAAATGTTCAAGCTCTGGAAAAGCTGGCAATCACAAAGCACCCATATATTCCTGATCTGGAGATTTCCGTGGTGCTGAGACACCCTCTTATCTCCTGCCCTTTGTCTGGTGAACTCTCTGGCTCAGCTCCTTTTCCTCTCTATCCCTCTCTGTTCCCTCCCAGTTGGAGGCTACTTGCTTCCACCAAGCCTTACCCAGAAGAGTTGAAACTTGATGTATTGAAGGCTGCTTTGGAGTTGTTTTGGGACATTCCTGGGCTGCTGGCATGGAGTCCTGTGCTGGGGGATGAGGGTCTGCTGGAGCTGCCAGGGGAGCAGGAGGATGTTACTGTGCAGAGGGGAAAAAGGACAGAGAAGAACTCAGTGAAACACTCCGGTTTTCTACTACAGGCCAATAGCAACCTTGGGGGACTTTTGCACACAAAAAGAGGATTTGTTTCCCCTTTGCCATTTATTTATCATAACAAATTTATTTATTATCACTTGAGGTATGGTATGCCATTTGGGGAGATCCTTCCATTCACAGGCAAGGTTCAACCCACACCATACTTCAAGTGACTCCGTCTAACATGATCTAGGCTGATTTTCTTTCTCTTTAAAGAGAAAGAAAACAAAACCAAAACCTCTCTCCAGTCTCCTCCTCTGTGCTTTGTCTAAGCCACTTGATGATCTTGAGAAATGGAAAGCTTCCTTACCACCTGCCTCTGAAGGGAAGAGTGGGAGGAAGTTTTCCTTTTCTTATTCTTTCAAAAATGTTGCTTACCGACACCACCCATCACTGATGCTTTGAAAGGGCTTTGAAAACAAAGCCCTATCAAAGCATTGCTGATGTGTTAGCAACAACTGAAGAGACATCAAAAGCTTCCTCTCTCTTCCCCTCCACAGGTGGGCAGGCAGGAAGTTTTCTATTGCTCAAGATCGTTAAGCAGCTTATGCAAAGGGACAGTTTAAGGCAGCAGCTTTGGTTCAATCCCAGCAATCACATGAGCTGGATCTGAACCAAGATGGAGTGATCCTACCCCACCCCCCACACACAAATAGGAACCCCTGACAGGGACTCCAAAAGCTCCAGATAGGCAGAGATCAGGTGTGGGCTGCTTCACTCTGGCACATCATGTGATTGCAAGAGAAAGTAGAAAACTGTCCATGACACAGATCAAACCATGGGACAATCTGATTACACCCTTAGTCTATCCATTTAGCAGTAGCTGGGGGCAGACAGACAGACTGAGACTGTCCCTTTTGTGCTTCGGTGGCCACAAATGCTATGGCTGCTGTTTAACTCAACGAGATCCAATGAGCTGAGTACCACCATAGGGGGCTAGCTGGCTCCAATTAATTAACCGTCCCAGCCATGTCCCCACTGTGAAGTCTGAGGCCAGGCGTTTGATCCCCAGTGCAACTTCCAGGAAAAGAGTCCACAGAGATCACCCAGAACATGTCTGGCACCTGGGATTCTATGATTTGCCACCTGCACAGAGTTGGGCCAGGTGCACAGTCCCAGAGCACCACCTGGAGGAGGAACCGGCAAAGCACTTCTGAGAACTTTTATCAAAAAACCCCCGGGAGGTTTCTTGATAAATCAGAATCAGTCTTATGACACATACGGTAATTATTCTTATTTATGCATAAGACTGCTGTCACGACCCATCCGGGTAATCCTTGTCAGATTTTATTAGCTGCATATGCTTGTTTGCTTTGCACAATCGCCTTTAGTGATGCGATTTGAAACTTGGGTTGGCCAATCTGAAAAGCAGAACTGCATCTATTGACTTCAATGGCTATGGCTGTAGATTCTCCTCCAGAGCACCAGAGGTGGTGGTGGGGCAGTCATGAAGACCTCCTACATCTCAAAATTTGCCACTACAACAGGGGTGCTTTCGAAGTTGATTCTTGGTGCCTCTTGAGACGCAAGATCTGCCGAGGCCGGCTCATCTCCAAATCTGGAAGCACATGGCACCCAAGGAGAAACATGAAACCGGAAGGAGCGAGACGGACCTAGCCAGACCTACCTGCCCCATGCATCGTGCTGTGGACAGGTGTGACAGAAAGCGGACCCAAAGATCCTGAGGTAGAGACCTGGGAGAGGAGAAGAAACACACACACACACCAGGTGAGGAGCGCTTTTAGAGTGAATCCAAGGATTGGCTTGGTGTTTACACCACCAGGCGCATGGCTAGCTTTGGAGAATAACAAGGTCAGTCCCAGAAGCCATGGAGAAAAATCCTTTTTTTTTTTTTGCATGCCTCCTCAGATGTAAGTCCCATTGATCCAAGAAGACCTACTCCTAAGGAAGTAGGAGGGTACCCTTTGTTCACAGGATCGGCAGCTTGCGCTTGCAACCATCCTTAACTGCCCACAAAGGGCTTGCGTTCTGCGCTTCTATTTTACCCATTTTACTGTGGTTCCCGGCTCCAATGTTTAACTGATTCTTTAGGTAGGTCCATCATTTTCTTTATAGGTTTGACGGATGGAAAATCCCCCCGTAAGGAAGCAGGCAACATATAGTGAAAGGCAAGTGCCAGTGGGAAACTGCAGATGGACAAGTGTTGCTCGAAAGCAGGGGTGCAGAAGGAAAAATAGAAGACGTACACAAGGAAATGAATGTTGGCAAACAAGAAAAATGATACACGGTACACACATAAATAGTCAGTAAATCCTGTGTGATTTAGTAGATGTATTAAAAATCACCCAGCACTATATCTTATGGGCTGACCTCACTCTGATCTTCCCTTAGTGTCTCAGTGGTTGAAGAATACAGGGGAGACCTTGAGTTTTATTGGCAAGTTGCAGTGACCTCTCTCTCTTTCTCATTCGGCACCAGCAACTCTCCGCTTCTCAGGGCAAATCACTGAGAGTTGTTAAATCCTATGATGGCTAGATCCAGTACAAAGGGTCGGTTGTGGGGTTGCTCTGCCCTGGTGGAGAGCCACGACTCCTTGCTGATCCCGATAGTGGGTCCTAGAGGACTCGGACACCCCCAGTTTGTTCTGTTCTTTTTTGTGCACTTTGTTTGAAAAGGTTTAGGTACTGTTCAGCAGCTAGATACAAAGAGCCCAGAGTATGCCTTTGCAGGGAGAAAGGGGAAGGTTGAGTCACTAGAGGGTGCTCTCTTCATTTATTCAGGATCAGGACCCATGAGTCAGAAAGAAGGTGCTCTCCCCATCTCTGACTCAGTTCCATACTGGAGCCTGCATGGCGGGGGGGGGGCTGTTCATTGGGAAAAGGCAACAGTATCGCCCCTGAAGCATACTGGGAAATTGCATCATCTTCTGTTGAGTGATGCTCCGTCACAGTTTCAGTTGGATACCAGACTTTAAAAAACAACAACAACAGGGTTGTCATCAACTTAATACAGCATTTCTGTAGGATTTGTATTTTTCTTGTGGAAGGAGGTGGCCGAAACCTAGCTCCCAACCTTGTTGGGACAGGGCTGAGAGGCTTTCTGTATGTTTTTGGACTACAATTCCCATGCACCACAACTAGCTTGTAGTTGAAAGATGTCACTTAGGCCCCTCCTTATTTGTTCCATCTTTGGCGATGGCCCAACACAGGGAGAAAGAGCCATGGCCAATGAGCCCCTTCTGGATGTTCACCTCTTACCAGTCTGGAGTTGTAGAGGGGTGTTTTGATGGGCGAGGGTACTGGGCAGCTGATGCGCTTCTCTTTCTGGCGTCGGTTGCAGAACCAAACCCGGACCACTTCCTTCTCCATGGACAGCTGTTCTGCAATCATGGAGATCTCCTCTGAGCTGGGCTTGGGGTTCTGCAAAAGGGGAAGAGCCAAGAGAAGTCAAACCGAGCTCAACAGCAAGGCCAGCTGGAAGGCTGAAAGGAGCGGATGGGGATCTTCAACTTCCCCATAACATGTGGGGCTCATGAGAATGGATCAGGAAGTCAGGCTAAGAGGACAGATGCAGGGTGCCTGTCATTGCCTGCTGTTTACTTGACACCCCCACATTTTTACTCTCTACGTGGATTGTTTTCCTTACTTCTTGGAACCGTTTCTCCAACGTGGAGCGAATGTTGGTCTCGATGCTGGTGCGTTTCTTCCTCTTACGCCCGAACATCTCATTCACCACCGGGTAGGATTGGGGGCTGCTTACAGACGAGTCCAAAGGAGAAGATTCTGTGGGGTAAGAAGAAAGCCAGTGGAGGGGAAAACATGAATTCAATGAGGGTGCTTTGATTTGGGCAAGGATTAGGGATTAGGGTATGGATGGTGAGAACCACCACACAGAAACCATCAGCGCAGAGCTTGGCACTTTTATGGGAACAAATATTCAGTTTGTATAAGCCCAAGTAGAAAAAGCCCAAGTTGAAAAAGACAGAAAGAGAGACAAGTACAGAGGGAATTTTTTAGTCTGAAAACCTGACTCTCACCTGCATCACCTAGCCATTTTTCCAGCAGTGGTTTCAGCTTGCACATGTTTTTGAAGCTGAGATTGAGGGCTTCAAAGCGAGAGATTGTGGTCTGGCTGAAGTCATTTCCGTAGAGTTTTCCCATAGCGAGACCCACATCACCCTACGGGAGGCAGAAAGGGTCACCAAGTTTTGAAGAAGAAAATGGAAGACCTCCTCTGATCTCTTGAGAGCCCAGATTCCAACCCCACCAGCAAAAGTAGCTCTCCGTACCTGTGTAAACCCAAGTTTGATCCTCCTCTGCTTGAATGTCTTGGCAAATTTTTCTAACTCCTCAAGGTCATTGGCTTCATCTGTGGCCATGGAGGACGGCAAGTGTTTGGCAACCTGTAAATGCTGCGGTACCTCCAAGTGGGGATCTAGTGGTGCACTGGGGTGCCCAGGACGTCCCACTGCCTGTTAAAAGAAGAGCAACCTCCATAGAGTAAGAAGCAACAGCAGCATCTCAACTCCTCACTCGAGTTGTAAGGAACCAAAAGCTAGCATTCAGCAGACATTCTCAACAGTCTGCATGAATGACTCCATAAAGGCTGTCTTCTCCCACACAGCTTGCCCTAAATTTTGTGGGGTTTTTTTGGGGGGGAGGGGACAGGGTCTCTGTCTCATCCATCCATCCGTCCGTCCGTCCGTCCGTCCGTCCATCCATCCATCCATCCATCCATCCATCCATCCATCCATCCATCCATCCATCCATCCATCCATCCATCCATCCATCCATCCATCCATCCATCCATCCATCTATCCACCTATCTTGTTTGTTTGTTTGTTTGTTTATACATACATACATACATACATACATACATACATACATACATACATACATACATACATACATACATACATACATACCCCCTTTCAACTTACAATCATCAAAGACAATATTTAAAGTTGAAAACAATTAGTACAGTAATAACTGGTGTTATCATTAAAAGATGCCAATAAACTCCCAAGCGCTTGCATTCTGGAGGTGAGAATGACATGTTCAGCCTCCAACAACTATGCTGAGCATTTTGAATATTGGTTTCTGCTCCAGAGTAGGCTTGGATCTGCTGCGTTTGAGCACAATGGTCCAACTGAGAGACCGAGCAAGCGGTAATTACCTGAGATGCTAACCCGTGTCCATGCTGGGGAAGGAGGAGCCCATTCTGTTGCTGAGGGAAGGACAGGAGATTTGACTGCAGGGCTGAAAAACCAAGAAAGAGAAAGAGAGAGAGAGAGTCAAGGATGGTGTGGTGGAGAGACATCCATAAAGCCTTCCACAGGATATAATAATAATCACATGACTTAGGGTGGACATGCTTTCCAGGGTCTTCCAGGTAGAGAGTACACAGAAGTGATTTACCTTTCCCTTCCTCTAGGGGCGCCCTAGGACCATGCTGCTTTTGCCCAAGGCTACACAGGCTGGCTCTTCTCGCAGGAGGCATGGTGGGGAATCGAACACACAACCGCTGACTATAATAGTACTCAATGACTTACTCACGGAATTAATTCATTTTACGAAACTGTAGCACAACCGGAGGGAAGGCTTCCATAATCAACTGACCCCATAAATCACAACCATGTCTGTTGCTAGTACTGGTTTCCTACTTGGTGCACATTCACCCAGTCCCTAAGGCCGCTTTCCTCCCTGATGTCCTCCGGACTTGTGAGGTCACAACTCTCTAGGTGACCAGGAAGGATAGGAACCATCGCTCTCCTGGTTGGGTGAAGCTGCTGCAAGGTAACTTCAGGTAAGCCCCATTATCAGCCATCTTCCTGATGTTTTGCTGAGACAGTGGAGCAGGAGTTGGCCTGAGGTGAAGAACCTCCAGATAATTTCGCCTTTCCAAAACAGGATGGTGCAACAGCACCAGAAACTATATGCACATTAGCTTTATTAGATGACACCACCAAACAGACAACTTGGCTGCTATCCTTTTTTTTATTTTTTTCATTAGGCATTTCCAAACCGAGACACGGATTGCCTCCACCAGATAGGGAAGGATCGTCGCAATGCAAGGATATGCTGCGCAACAAGCCAAAGGCAAAGTGGGGTGACTTAAAATTAGCAGTCGTTACTGCCAGGTCTTCAGAAGCGGAGCGAACATGATGCCGCCCATGTTCCCGATTTGCATGACAAAAGTGCGAACCCAAAAACCAAACCCCATTTAAATCACACGGCTTTTGAAAATAACCCCCTCATACACATTTGTCTTATCCTTTCGTACCCTCCTCCCCTCCCCTTCGCCATCACTACAGCAACAGTGATGGTTGCTGCTGATGTTACAGTGATTGTCCCTGTAAACATTTGAAAAGAAGGTTTTAAAACGCCTCTGCTGCCGTTCATGACCTCAAAGCACCAGGCAGTACAGCAGACCTAGGCAAAGTGTGGCCCAAGGGCCACATACGGCCCACGAGCCACTCCAGTCCGGCCTGCGGACAGTTTTGAACATCAAAACCATTTATAGCTTTTTGTCTAAAGTCGATCAGTTGCTTATCTTTAACATACTGCAAAAAAAAACCCAAACTCTTTAGTATTTGTGAAGATTAACAAGTTTAAAATAAAAACAATCATAACATCACTCTTTCATTTTATTTTTAAGTAAAGTTGGTTTGGCCCCCCAAACACAGTTCAGATTTTTCATATGGCCCCCCCTACAGAAATTAATTGCCCATCCCTGCAGTACGGTGACATTTAATTATGTACTGTGTGGCGTATGTATGCCATCCCTGTGAATGGAAGTTATTGAGCAGCTTTCAAGGCACTTAAAATAAAATTATTTTATTTTATTTTATTTGCTACAGGCAATGCCATGTAGCAGACAGAGCAGATGGGGCTAGGAGATCTTGGGTCAAGCCTTTGTTGAGCCATGGCAGTCACTGGGGGACCTTGAGCTAGTTCCTCTTGCAGCCTACCATAGGGATTGATCCTGTGACGGTCAAGGGGCAAGGATGAGCCCCATCAATGCCTTATTTTATTTATTTTATTTTATTTTATTTTATTTTATTTTATTTATTTATTTATTTATTTATTTATTTATTTATTTATTTATTTATTTATTTATTATTTATTTATTTATTTAATTTCTTGAACTTGTATGCCACCCATCTAGACATGGTCTACTCTGGGCGGCTCACAGAACACAAAGTGAAACAATAGAAACAAATTAGCAGTTAACAACACATAGATAGTAATTCAAGATGGAGAGAATAAAAAGAAAGTCAAATAATGCCCGGAGGGAAGGCCTGTCTGAACAACCAGGTCTTAAGTTGGTTTTCAAAAATGCCCACCGAGGGGGCCAAATGGATCTTGGAGGGGAGTTTGTTCCAGAGACAGGGAGCCACAGCCGAGAAGCCCGGCGTCTCGTTCTTTCTTTCTGGACCTCCATCGGCATTAAGCTCCTCAGTTGCCCCTCCTGACTAGAACGGGTGATATGAGCAGATCTAGGAGGGAGGAGGCGTTCCGCCAAGTATCGAGGTCCTAAACCGTTTAGGGCTTTGTATGTAATCATTAATACTTTGAAATCAACGCGGAACCGAACGGGCAGCCAATGCAAAGCAGCCAGGGTGGGAGCGATGTGTTGGTGTTTCCTCACCCCGCTAAGGAGTCTGGTTGCCGTATTCTGCACCATTTGGAGTTTCCGCATCAATCTCAAAGGTAGCCCCACACGGAGCACATTGCAGTGGTCTAATCTCGAGATTACGAGCGCATGGACCAGAGTGGTGAGCGACCCAACATCAAGATAGGGACGCAGCTGGGCAATCCGCCAAAGTTGGAAATAGGTGGAGCGGACCACTGACGCCACCTTTCTGACAGCAGGAAAGATGGATTACACACATCACTAGAACATAAATGATAATGAATTATCCAGCAAGAGGTATTGCACATGGACAAAGGTATATGAACATTCCCACCCAGATCTCAGAGGTTCAAGGGGCTGGTTTGAATATGCACTACAGAGTTAAAGCAGTTCGGCGCCACTTTTAATTTCCATGGCTCCCTGCTAAGGGGTCCGGGGCTTTGTAGTTTGGGGAAGGTGTCCCTGATCTTTTGCTAGAGTTCAAGGACCACAGGAGAGCTCTTGAACAGAGAATACTAATTCCTTCAGCAAGCTATGAACCTCAGGATTCACTAGGATGGAATCTTGATAATTGAAGCAGCCTCAGACTGCTAGAACTCTGTTGTTTGATTATGTTCTGGGTCTCCTGTCCAGGGCAGATTCCAGGACAGGTGGCTCTAGCTAATGCCAAATACAGAGATGGGGAAAGCTCAGATGGTTTTTTTTTTGACGGCCACTTCCAGCATAAGGAGTTGAAAGTTGGAGTCCCCCAAGATAGTATTTGGCATGCTAAGAATCTCCCCCAAGGCTGTCGTTTTTTGCAATTTTGGCTCTTGGTGGCATGGGCATGAAACACTGGGTGACCAAACATGGTGACAATCTCCACCTACTTCTTTCAGATGTTCTAGTCTTCCTTCTGGTTCCCAACTTTTGGGCCAGAGCAAAGCTTTGAAGCAGAACAACCTCAGTCTAGAGATGGCTGCTGGGCCATCCAGATGTGCACCCCCAAATCAGGCAACAGGTGGCCCTCCAGATGTGACTAGACTGCAACTCCCATCCTCTCTCGCAGCCTAAGGACTGGTGGGAGTTTCTGGAGGAATATAAGTTGCCCGTCCCTGAGCCGATTTCTCATAGCATGGGGCTTCTTTCTCCAAATTGACACAGATGTGAAGATACACATCTGGTTGGGAGAGCATCTCTTCATTCAAGGAATCAGGAGCTCTGGATCAGGAGAGGGAGCCAAGAGGAAGGTTCCTCGGTTCAAACATTGCTGAGAGCGCCAACAGAGACAAAGGTGTGGCCTAGTCCTGTCATTGAGGAGGTTGAGTCACTACCCTGTCATCTTTGTGCAGCCTTCTTGATTTCCTGATCCTACACATCAGCTGTGTAACCCCGGTTCTCTCCGACTACCTCAGCAATACCCTAGTATCACCCCTTAAGTCATGTCTCCGGAGGAAGCAAAACAAAACAAAACTGATGAAACCACAGGGCCTGGGTTGGCTATTGTCTCATCAACTAGGCACCTTGCAAATGAGGGCCGTGTATGTCAAGTGTAATTAAAACGCGCAAGCCAGGAGTGTAGTCTTGCAGAACCCAGAGACGGTTTAATATCTTAACGAGGCTGTGCAAGATAAGATCTAAATGAGCCAGACAAATTAGGCAAATGGCTTTGTGATGTAGCTGCAAAGTTGGTGGTGCTGATGGTGGGGATGCTGGATTTGAGCACGGGAGCATCTCCTGTGGGAGGCAGCAGTGGAGAGAAGTATGTGTGCACGTATGAATATATTCATGTTGCCCAAATTAATTCTGAAAGGAATGGCTTGACAAGAGGAGGCTTAAGGAAACCACATGGATGTGGCCTCGGGAATAACAGACACTGGAATCTAAACCTTGAGTCTGCAGCCATTCACTTCCCCAAAGTCATATGAAATACAAATGGGGGTGGGGGTGGGAAGGAGAGACAGCTTGTGCTGCAGTAAAGATGTAGTAACCCTATTTAAAAGACAGGAACTGTTTCAAAAGCTGGAACAGCACAAGGGTGTGAGCAGCTAGTTGCAGAGCCCAGGGGTGGCTCTTTCAATCCCTGCTGTGACTTTTGGGAGAACAGCTAGCCAAGATGACCTGGAGCATGCATGGCGGATGGAATTAAAGGCCTAAGAATGAATACAGTGGACCCTCGACTTACGGAATAAATCCGTATTGGAACAGTGGCTGCAGGTTGAAAAGACAGTCTGTAGGTCGAGGCTCCATTGACCTATAATGCATTGAAAACCGATTAATCCGTAACTGGCCATTTTTGTTCCATTTTGTTTTTTCCCCGGTCTGTAGGTCTATTCTCCGGCTGCAAGTCGAACCAAAATTTTGCATCCAAAGAAGTCTGTAACTCGAAAAGTCTGTAAGTCGAGCCGTCTGTAAGTCCACTGTAGTTGGTAAACCACGTCGCCATAAGTCAATGGGATAGCATATACTGTAATTATTATGGACTATTTCAGATACTGCATCTATACATATAAATTGGCCATGGAAATTTTATGCATGTCTCTTCCTTCCTTTCTCTCTTTCTTTTCAGTTTTTGATGAAGCACTCCTTTTTTTTTGTAGCATTATACAAAAGGCCAACTTACTGTAGCATCAGATTCAACCATCATATCGGAAGTGGTTGGAAACCTTGCATATGATTTTATATAGTACCTCTTGATTGCACTGAGTTCCCATATTGGATGTGAATGATTGAGGAACGAAATGAAAAAGAAAAGAGTAGCTAGCAATACTTTGAGAGACACTCATCCTTGGTTCCTTCTGCCCACCAGAAATCCATCCTATTTCCTCACTGGAGTTATATGCATTGTGATTCTACACTATCTTCATTTCTCAACAACATCTCTGGATTTTCAACATGCAGACAACGTACCATAAATAATAAATATGATAAACGAATGCTTGCGGGCATATAGGTGTGCTTCTAGGACAGTGGTTCTCAAATTTGGCCTCCTGTATGTTCTTGGACTACAACTCCCAGAATTCCTGGCCAGCACAGCAAGTAGCAAAGGCTTTTGGGAATTGTAGTCTAAGAACATCTGGGCGCCCAAGGTTGTTGATAGCCATGTTGGAAGTTGTTTTTCTCAAGTGAGGAGAGCAGGACACAAGTTTCTAAAGTTACTAAAAATTGAGGATGTAGACTTTGGAAGGCTGAAGCCACTTCAGGTAGACAATGCTACTCATTGGTCAGACTTCAGGAGATCTGCATAAGCTTACACACAGCAATGGACATCAATATATAGGTATGGATGGATGTTTACCCTACCTTGCTGCCCAGCTGGGCCCTGAGAAAGCAGGAAGAGAGGGACGGATTGCATATGACCCGGAACCTGTACAAGCTGTTGCAAAGTGTGAAGGGAATTCATGTCCTGGAGAAAGAGAAGAAAGCAAGTCAGATACAATAGAAGATCTCCAGACAGTTTTGCACTCACTCTGCCTCTGCTGTAGACCTCCCCCAAAGTGATTTCTCTAAGTTTTGGCTCGATTTCTTGAGGGTTGGTGGTTTAAGGCGGGGGGGGTCCAAAATGGTGCCTCCTGCTGGCCCAACCCAGTTCAGGCTGCATTTGGGAAGCCCATCAAGCCAGCTGAGTCTTTACAGAAACTCTGAACCCATAGAATGTCCCCCAGAGAGTCAACACCTCCCTTCATATAGAAAGCCCTTCATATATCAGGGAGGCGACTCGTGTGGAACCTTCCCTTGACAGGCTAGCTTTGTATGCCTAGGTAGGGAGAGCTTTCTTATAATGTGAGGGATCAATCAAAGAAGGGCAGGTCCATAGCTCAGATGAAGGTAAATTAATCTACCTATAAAATTGCAATTAACTAGAGAGTAAACATGTCAGTGCCCAGGTCTGGAAAAATATTCTGCCAGCTCAGCACTGTTGCTGCAGATTTAGTGCTATTAATTTCAGACAGCATGAAATAACACACACACACATGCACGCACACACACACACACCTATGTTGCTACAGCTGAAATTAACAGACTTCAGAAGGGCTCTGGCTCAATGGTGGGAATCCATTTTTGGAACACACAGAACGTAACACAGTCTTTAGCCTATCTAGGTACAGCTGAAGAAGTGTCCTGTCTCAGCCTTTGGAGAGGAAGACCCAGTAAGGAGCCAAACCCCACGAAATGGGTCAGTAAATTGACCTCTATAGGACAATCACCTCTTGTCCTTCACTCCCAAATGCTCTGCCCTTGGCTTATAACCTGCAACACCATAGTCCTGGAAACAGAGGCATTACATGCGGGTCTCCGACTATGTAGCCTAGCTCACAACAACGTTCTCCTAATTGTGTAAAGCCCCTCTATTGAAAACGTTTTTGTGACATGCAAGCCACGGCTTAACGCAGCAACAACAGAACACTTGTGAACACACCACACTTTGAAGGAATGATTTGGTCCATGAAGAATGACAATTTTAGGGGAGCGGGAGGACACTTTGATGAGATCTGGGTTCCATGTGGGATTTACTACATATGTATATCACTGTTTTGAATCGCATCTTCCAGCCAATGGAAGTGACGACCGGTATTTTCCGGTGGTTTCCCACTGACAAAACCCAAATCTGCTGAAATGTTGTTAAGGTGGCTGCACAGAGCACCTTCAGCTTGTACCTCTAGACCAGTGGTTCCCAACCTTGGGTAAACCAGGTGTTCTTGGACTACAACCACCAGATGCCTTCACCATTATCTGTGATGGCCAGGGTCTCTGGGAGATGTTGTCCAAGAACATCTGGGCTATCTGTGATGGCCAGGGTCTCGGGGAGATGTTGTCCAAGAACATCTGGGGACCCACGTTTGGGTCATACAAATTTTGATCAGCATGTGCCTGTACGGAGTGTCAAATTCCTTACCCCTGCAATTTGCCCTCCTGGCATCATAGATGGCCCTTGCACTAAATGGCTCAGTCGAGAAGGGTTGGCTGCCTGTAAAGAGTCACTGAGGTCTTCTGTTTTAATCTGCAAGGAAAGGCAGAACAAGTAACCACATTGCAGCCACAAAGGAGGAATTGGCAATCAAAACCCATGGGAATAACTATTGTGCACATCCCCAATAGGTATATGTATGTCCCTCTCCAACTTGAGAACCCTCCATGTATTTGGACTAATGGCCTCCAGTTCAAGAAGTCTCTGCTGAATAATGATGCTTAATTTTTTGAGGTGCTATAATATTCCTCGTTGTCTTTGCCACAGTAGACAAACACACCCCTCTGGAAACTGGGGGCTGGGGGAGACATATTTTGGACAGAGAACCTGGATTTTCCCCAAACATCTGGAAGGCACCAGCTTATGGAAGGCTCATCCAAGTTATTTTGATTTAGGTTGCTCGACATTGACAACCACATCCAACCCAGTTGTTCCTTTAGGTTTGGCTGTGAGCCTGCCCATCGTGCCAACTGGCACAGAGACCCTACACGTGAGTAGGCCAGCACACATTCTAAAAAGCTTTCCATGTTTTGCCTAGCACTGAAATTGGTGCCACACAAAAGTGCCTGTTTTCTCCACCTCTGGCTCCCTCAGGTGGTTGAAGGAAGTGATCAAATAAAGTTGAAGATATTAGAAGATGTTTCAAAACCAGCCAGCAGTTCCGCTGCCAAAGATAAACTGGGCTGACCTAAGCTGGCAAAGACCATCTAAGAGCCACACTAATGCACCATGAACTTCTTGGTGGTAGAATGTATTCAGAGAAAGAATAAGAGAAAAGCTGGAATAAACAACAAAATCACTGAATTTGGAGAAGGACTGAGAGTAGCTAGATTGAAGCTCATGAGCAAGAAACTCCCAGCCAGCCAGCCAGCCAACCAGCCAACCAACCAACGAACCAACCAACGAACAATCGAACGAACGAACGAACGAACGAACGAGCGAACGAACGAACGAGCGAACGAACGAACGAGCGAACGAACGAACGAGCGAACGAACGAACGAGCGAACGAACGAACGAGCGAACGAACGAACGAGCGAACGAACGAACGAGCGAACGAACGAACGAGCGAACGAACGAACGAGCGAACGAACGAACGAGCGAACGAACGAACGAGCGAACGAACGAACGAGCGAACGAACGAACGAGCGAACGAACGAACGAGCGAACGAACGAACGAGCGAACGAACGAACGAACCAACCAACCAACCAGCCAGCCAGCCAGCCACAGAATCCTGAAAAATACAGCTCATGAAGGAATTATATAATGAACATCTCCGACATCTTACGTCTTTGACGGTAATAGTGACTAATGATCATTTACTCTCTTGGCAAGAGAACAGAGCCAAACTGAAATCTGCAAATCGCTTGCTTGGGGCAAGAAGATCAGTGGTGTTTCTCAAGCCCTTCCCCCACCTCAAACTTTCATTCATTTGCCAAAAATCACAATTTTGTTGGGAGAATTAAAAAAAATAAATAAAACAGCTCTGCACTCTCAAGAACCCACCATGACTAACTTTGCATTTCAAAACTTTCTCTAGAAGGAAGACATTGTTCGGAGACTCTACCTGGACAGCCACATGACCTTGCTTGCAGGAAAGGACGAGTGCAACATCACTCCGCCACAAGGTCTTTAGTTTAGGTGTGTGTATATGTGTGTGTGTAAGGGAGATTTGCACGTGACCAACAGCCTGCTAGAGGTGTGTAAAATTATACTGTACATGATGTGGAGGAGACAAGAGTGGTTGCATTGTTCTTAGCAGATGAAATTGGCATCTGAGTTCATACGCAGAGGTGGAGGGGAAAAAAAGGATGGATTTCTTCACGCTAAGGGTGCAACTTCACTGGCCCTATTGGTGCAGGCTGGTGTGGTCTAAAAAGGATCACCTGAAGTTGTAGGAGAATCAATATGCCCTCACCTCCAAATGGGATATCAACCTCAAGAGACCATCCAGCTCCTGCCACTGTCCATTGAAGACTTTCCCTGCCCCATCACTGATGCACTGAATCACTTAGATTAAATTGATTATTTAATTATTTTCAGGAGAAGAAACTCCCAATCATCATGGTCAATGCTGTATTCTACAAAAGATAACTTTTCCAAGTTTCTCACGGCAGACAGCTGTTGCTAAACTCTGCTCTTCCAATTTGTCTATGTTCTTAAAAAAGAAAAGCCAACTGTTGTGTATGCATGTTTGCTCTAGACGCAATGAACTAAATAAATGAGAAAGCTTCTCCCTTTATTTATTTAACCAAGATTCTACAATAAGTTTTAACCACAAATATTGGTGGTAACATTTAGGTAAAAGCCTGATGTATTCATGACAGGTGACAGAGGTATTAAATGTGAAGTTATGTCGGCCTCTCCCACAACATCATTTCACTAAGTGGGCTAAAGTTCCAGTACGGAACCAAGACTGAGTTTTTTCAAGTTACTAAACCTTAATGTCTTTGGTTTCAAGACCCAGATAATCATTCACGGGGGGCTCTTCGGCTGGTTTCTGATATATTCACTTTAGGCAGCCGGTTCCTAATAACTCTGTACAGAAACACTACACAATTGTAAAGAGGTGCATTTTGCAAAATAGCTAAAAGGGAAATGAAGGAAGGAAGGAAACTGTTTAAGCAAGCTTTGAATTGTTCTATTAAATTAATCAGTCTTAGAAGAGTAGGTGTTGAAAGATATTTCTTACTGTAATTTTTATGTTAAGTGTGAACACAACACATTTTTTTTTAAAAAAACACTTTCCCCAGCTGCCTCTCTCTGTTAATTATTTCTTTCATTTTTTATGCTATTAGCCTTTAAACCCCCCCACCCCCGCATGTCTATTTTAATGACTATGTTTTAAGTTAGTTCTGCTTTAACTGGGCTTCCTACAAATTTAGGTGACCATAGCAGAGCTACCTTAAAACGTCCTCCTCTTTCTCTGATTCCTTGCTTTAAGAAAGAAAGAATGCAGTTCTAAGGTTTGGAAGGAAGGAAGGAAGGAAGGAAGGAAGGAAGGAAGGAAGGAAAAGAAAGAAAGAAAGAAAGAAAGAAAGAAAGAAAGAAAGAAAGAAAGAAAGAAAGAAAGAAAGAAAGAAAGAAAGAAAGAAAGAGGGAGGGAGGGAGGGAGGGAGGGAAGCAAACCCTGTCACTAGGTATGGAGAGGAAGGGATTCAGTTAACAAGCTGCAAACAAGGTTGATTTCCTTCCCTCTCTCTGCTGAATCCTGTGCAGTTGGCTCAAGTCAATTAACCTTTGGAAACCTGGCCTCTCAAGTGCAACTTCATAGCAGATACAGTACTGTACTTTGTATTTTCCTGCTGTGTAGCCTCACTGATTGTAAGTCACAAGAACCACGAAAACAAGAATAGGAATGTATTTACAATCCAATAAATGACAATCTCATACATCATCTTGGTGGAATTTAACACATTGTCGTTTACGCAAAACAAGCAACATTTTTTTCTGTTCTCTGTAAAAGTAGATTTTTTTTTTAAAAAAAGGGAAATAAATGTTGAAGACAAATGTGAAAAAGATTTTTAAAAAATCAGAGGGTCATTGAAGACCAGATTTTGTAGGTGGACATTGGTGCTGTTACTCAAGAGAGTGATCATCCTGCAGAAAACTCCCCAAATGCAATTAGTTGCACGCCATTTTGATTGAAATTGCTTGATCTGTAATACTGTATTTTCTTGACCTTGGTTAGCTTCCATGGAGAAGGTGTATGCATCTTTTAAATTAAAAGAATGATTTTATCTCAGAAGCTGAATCAGTCAAGTATATCTCCAAACTTCTTAATCATTTAGGGTTTTTCCCCACTTCATTCCAAATTAGATTTTAAAAAAATCAGTGGTCCAGAATAAATGTGCTATGCCAAATCCAGACCACTAGATTCACAAATAAGTGAATAGTTTATCCTTATTCATCGAGTCTTGGTTGGCAAATGCATGCATTATTTGGAAAAATAATATCAAAAGGAGCAAAGATATTTGGATTTTAGGCAAAATGCACGCATGTTTGCTCCTTTTGATGGTCATTTACCTTTGCATCTCGGAAACAGGATTTCTGGAAACAACCCTTCAAGCAATGGACCCTACTTGCTCTCATGAGTATTTATATACTGTTCCAGTAATCCCTTAACATCCTGAAACAGAGCTCTATAGAACCTGGAAGCTTACACTCTCAAACTAAATTGAACTGAACTGAACTAAACTACATTGGTTTGAACGACCTCTGAAACTTTTAATACATCTTCTTACCAGAAGAGGGAGACAAGAAGTGTTAAATGTTTTACAACAGACAACATTAAGCATATTAATTATATAAAAGAACTTGGATGTAGAATTGAGCACATGGAGATATGTTGAAATGCAGAGAAAGCTACCTACCCACCTGGAAAATACTGTACAAGTGCCTCAAGAACCATTGGAACGACCGTATCAGAAAACTGTCAGGTTTATAAAAAGGAACGATTTTAAAACTGAACACCATCATTTCCATTCCTAATTCCTGTGGCTCACTGCTCCCCTTTTTTCCATTTTGAAAATGGAAAAGTTCCACTCTTGTCCTGCCTGCCACCAGCCTTTCAATCTAGCACTTTTAACCAACTAAGGGACAAATTAAAAAGTTCTCCCTTTCGAGCTTCTCACCTCCCAGAACCAATGTAATGAACAAGAACCTGGCCTGTCTTGGTAGCCAAATTCTTGACGATCCCCCACAAAAAAAGCGCCCCATGATGTATAAATCCTTGCCTGAACCAACGCCACAAAGCCAATCCAAAAGCAGCCACCGGTGGAAGGAGAAAGAGGTCCTCTCGGGGAGTAAGATACCTTTTTGCCTGCGAACGGCAGGATCCCAACCAGCCCCAAGTGTGGAAGGCAGGCAAGCCATTTCCAAACTGAAATCAATTTTTTCCGCTGCCAGAACAGAACGGGTTGAAAACAAGCCAAACCGAATGGGGTGTGTTGCTTGCCTCTCGTCTTTGAACCACCTGAGAAGAGGAGGCAAAGCTGGCATGACGAAGGGGTGCCAGCTGGGGCTCTTTGAACC